AAAAAAAAAAAAAAAACACGGATTCTAGATTGGAAATCATAAAAAAAAATCAAAATGATGAGCCTTAAATAATTATATCAATGAAAAGAAAGAATGAAAAGTAATGAATTAAGCCACTGATTTAAAAGAGGAAAAATAACATCAAAGCAAACCAAAAGAAAGCAGAGAGAAAATCTAATTAGAATAATTTCTATAGATGAAATAGAAAAACTGTCAGAGAGCTAGCTCCACAAAAAACCCCAGGCCCACACAATGTCAAAGGGTATTCTACTAAACCATTAAAGAGCAGATTGTCAATGGTATTAAAACTATTCGAGCATAGAAAAAGAAGGAAAGCTTCCACCCTCATATTGTGTATCGATGCCAAAACCAAAATTATTGTACGTCAAAAAAATACTATATCATAGCAAGTGGATTTATTTCAGAAATGCAAGACTGACTTAAATATTAGGAAATCTAATACTATAAATCATCATATGAATAGAAATAAGAAAAAAATTTTGGTGTGACAAAAGATATCAAGTCAAAGGACAAATGATAAATTGGAATAAATGTTTGAAACTGTGTTTTTTTAAATTAAGGTTATTTTTTTAGAGCAATATAAGGTTCACAGCAAAATTGAGGGGAAAGTACAGAGATTTCCCATATAGCCCCTGCCCCCAAAAATGCATAGCCTCCTCCATTATGAACATCTCCCACCAGAGTGGTACATTTGTTACAACTGATGAACCTACATTGACACATCATTATCACTCAAAGTCCATAGTTTACATATTCTATGGGTTTAGACAAATTTGCAATGACACGTATCTACCATTATAGCATCATACAGAGTAGTTTCACTGCCCTAAAAATCCTCTGTGCTCCACCTATTCATCCCCCATATTCTTTTTTTTTTTCTTTTCCTTTATTGTGGTAACATTGGTTTGTAACATTGTATAAATTTCAGGTGTACATCATTATATTTCGATTTCTGCGTAGATTACATCATGTTCACCACCCAAAGACTAGTTACAATCCATCACCATACACATGTGCCTTATCATCCCTTTCCCCCTCTTCCCTCCCCCCTTCCCCTCTGGTAACCACCAGTCCAATCTCTGTCTCTATGTGTTTGTTTGTTGTTGTTTTTATCTTCTACTTTTGAGTGAGATCATACGGTATTTGACTTTCTCCCTCTGATTCTTTTCACTTAGCATAATACCCTCAAGGTCTATCCATGTCACAAATGGCCACATTTCATGGTTTTTATGACTGAGTAGTATTCTACTGTGTATATATACCACATCTTCTTTATCCATTCTTCCCATCATGGGCATCTAGGTTGCTTCCAAGTCTTGGCTATTATGGATAATGCTGCAGTGAACATAGGGGTGCGTGTATCTTTATGCATTCACATTTTCATGTTCTTTGGATAAATACCCAGCAGTGGAATAGCTGGATCATATGGTAGTTCTATTCTTAATTTTTTGAGACATCTCCATACTGGTTTGCATAGTGGCTGCACCAGTTTGCAGTCCCACCAGCAGTGTATGAGAGTTCCCTTTTCTCCACATCCTCTCTAATACTTGTTATTTCCTGTCTTGTTAATTATAGCTGTTCTAACGGGAGTGAGGTGATATCTCATTGTAGTTTTGATTTGCATTTCCCTGATAATTAGTGATGTTGAACATCTTTTCACGTGCCTGTTGGCCATCTGTATATCTTCTTTAGAGAAATGTCTGTTCAGGTCTTTTGCCCATTTTTTAATTGGGTTGTTAGTTTTTTTGTTGTTGAGTATTTTATATAT